AGGATGAAGGACTGATGGGCCTGGAGGAAGCTCCAGAAGGTATCTGTAAAACACAAACATGTCACTATACATTTTGCTTGGCTTCCCCACATCTCTGAAACAATTCCTTTGCTAGCTTGTTCCATTTCAGAAGTCTGAAATGGCTGTATTTTTGGACATAAATCCTCACTTTAAAATGCATGCCTAATGTCATCTCTGCATAGAGATTACTCAGTTCTGTGTATTCAGCTCTATGTTACACAAAAGTGAAAAATAGCTGTTTCTCTCTCTCCCACAGTAAGAGCCTCATCCTGTCCCCTTCCCAGTTCCTATCTGAAAAACCATTTGCAATATATGTATGCACCAGCAGGAGACACTGGTGCAGTTTTTATAGCTGCCTTTTCATGCCAATAATGTGACACATTAAAAAGCCACAAAAGTAGCACGGGTGCTTGCTCCTCATTATTTTACAGAAGTATTTGTAAAGAAACCTTTAAACATGCAGTTTGACTGGTTTTGTTACTGTTTTGAAATGTAGACCAGACTTTCTGGAATATTTGCAAAATTTCACAGACATGCCAAACAAACTTCATTCAGTATGACATACCTATTTTGCCTTTGGCCATAAAGCTAGGTGAAACACAGTCATTTAACTGTGCTTGGCATTCAGATTTTAGTTTTGTTTAAGCTTAGGATATAACACAGCATTTAAAACATAGATGATGATGATGAAGTTTTAAAGATAATGAAAACATCTTCCCATCTGATCTACAAAAATTATCTAGGTACATTGCTATGTGTTCAAGGAAGCTAAAACTAATTTCCTTGTTCTCCATTGATTTTTTTTTTTTAGTTCCTAGATCTGAAATAAACCACAACAGAATGTATTATAACAGATACAGACTCCTCTCATGAAAAATTTACACATTGTGAAAGAAAGAGGAACACAGCTAGCAAATAAGCTAACTATTGTTATAAATCTACAAGATTAATGATTAACTTGTAAGGATCACTAGTACTTACAAAAATAGTAACCTTGTTACTCATTTCTACATACAAGTTCTTCTGCCTTTCAATTATAAAATTACAGTTGTGCTTATTTAATATAAAACCATCTGAAGCTAGTATCTGAGCCACTGCTGTACATAAATGGCAAATTCCCTGCTCCACTGAGAATTCAGGATTTTTTTTTTTCTGAACGCTGGTAGTTGGTATCTTCTCTCAAAGACAGCGGGATTTCCACATCAGTGTTTAACTGTAAGATAAATTTGGTGTTTATTGCTTATTGAGTAGCTGCAGGAGCCTGCCCAAGGAGAATGCTGCAGGTAAGAGGCCCATTTCCTAAAAAGCGTTTGTGCCAAAACACTGTCCTTGGCCCCGCAAGCTGAGACCCTGTTTTGCTTTTAAACAGTCCGTGTCAAAGATGCCAACAAGGAAGTTAGATTTCCATAAAGGCTATCTGGCAAAGGCAGGGTAATGCTGGTTAATGTCTCTGTGAAGTCACTTGCTGCTCACTGAGTGATAGCCTCACATTTAGCTCTAGATTAGCCAGAAAGTGGGTATTTATAACTGTGGAAGGCACTGAGAAGTTACATGGGTGACACATCAGGGTTTCACACAGAGGTGACAGCAGCACGAAGCTCTTGGAAATCCCAGTGAAGTAGTACAGGTCAAAGAAATGAAGTAACTATCATCTACAGCAAGATCAATATGACAGCAAAATGTAAACCACTACACTGTGTGTAACTTCAGATTGCTTAGGCTCAAATCCTCTTTTTCCTTTACTAAATATACAACACTTAAATGGAATAACTGATGTAGATTTCTTGGTGCTTTTCACAATTGTCCTCATCTTTGGGATGAGGTTATTCAGTTTAACAACATGTATTCTGCTAGCTCAAATCCTGGTATTACATAAATAGTTTCCAAAGCTACTAAAAAAATTATGATTATTTAGGAAAATGTTTTTTAGATAAATATATTGGCCAAACTGCTGACTAAGAAAAATATTTGGGTAAAGGAACATGCATGGTACCGTAGAGAAGCTAACTAGATTCCCAGTGAGTTGGGGTGAAAAGGAAGAGCCTTTAAGTGGGGAATCCTGTGCAATATAGAAGAAAGAAAAAAAATTTCTCCTGTCCCTGTCTGCCTTTCTTACAGGAGATGAGGTTGTAAGACTGAAAGAGTGGGGTTGACATTAACTGTTTGACCCTCAAGATGCTGCCCTGGCTGCTTAAGGCCCTCTTCATCACGAAGGAATCTTCTAGGTACCCTGCTACCTCCCCTTTACTTGCAGGCTATTCTCAGTTTCACAAAAGGTTAAATTGTGCTGTCTCTGGTGAGCTTCTCAAACAGGGATTCTGTATGGAGGACTGCAAAGTGTGGGCCAAAAAGGCCTGTAGCTGTTTTGGACCCATAAATACTCCCCTTCTCAGCTAAATGACAGATTACTTTGCTTATACAATTGCAAGGGCCATCCCATGAATCGAATCAGCGCTGTTGGAGTGGTGGCTGCCTTTGTCACTGGTATTTGAAGACCCTGTTGGCATAACTGTGGTCTGACTGGTCTTTCAGACATTATATTAACACTGGAGAAAGGCAATATAAGCCAACATTGCAGGCCTGTCTTGAAAGCATGAGATGGGCAGGAACTCAACTCAGCTTCAAGCAGCAGGGACAGTCAAGGTGAAGGTCTCCTAGGCTCCTCTCCAAAAATAGGACCTCTGTAAATTTTTCCAAGCTGGTCAAGGAATAGGCTGTGTTGGTCTGACAACAGAACTTGCTGCTTCTGATGGTGACTTATCATCTGAAGAAAACTGCAAATTAACACAGACTTTTTCCTGTGGAATACCTGGCATCAGAAAGGGCTGATCCTGCAATTATTCCCATGATAAGAGAGATGTAGGGCATTGCTTACAAGCAACTGCTGACAGGCAGGTGTCATTAAGCTATTACTGCTGTTGGGTATTGGGGCCCTGGGACATGGAAGGGCTTTACCTTGTCCAATTTTCTGTTGTGTCACTTTACAGATTCATAGTGTCACAGAGCTGACTACGCTGTTCACACAAACCACTTACCAGTAGATTTCTGCCTCTCTTTATTTGGTTTTCATTCAAAACTCTGTGAGAGGTACGTTTTCAGTATCATTTGCGTCACTCTGGACTGTTCATGAATTGTTTGCTAGGATACATTGTACCCAGAATACATTTAAAAAAAAAAAAGATTATTGTACCGGCTCCACACCAATACCACATGCTGTCTCAGGAAAGTTTATTAGCAGGAAAAGTAGCTATTTACCTGTTCATCTTCACTGTCTGTCCCGCCTAAACTCAAAGAGCTATGACGCTGAACGGGGTTGGAGGACTGTGGGATAAAATAAGGAAGAGGGTAAGTCAAGGGAAGTATCACATTGAATTATCTGGGACTGGATATCCAGTGCTAATTATGAGAAAACACAAGAGGAAAGATAAAGGAAGGGTCACTGATTCCTTGCCTCACAGAGTAGGTTTCATTTCTTCATTGGGGATCAAATATAAAGTAGGGGAGCTTTATCCTGCTATGAGATATGCCATGATGGTTGACCACATGAGGCAATACATTTTATAAAGTTATTTCGGCTTATTGTTTTAAGATCTTCAAATCTACAAATGCTCACTCCAGTCCAAAATCATGCATGTGCTGTGAAAAGGCAATTCCTAAGAAAGAGGATAACCCAAACCTCCTCCGAGTCTCATCAGGACCTGTTCTCCTTAGACTCAGGATTGTCACTTTCCTGTTGATTCAACTAATATTGCCCTGGTTTGGAGCTATTTAATTCAAAAAACAGTAATTGTTTAAGATTCTCTTGCAGTCCTTATTATTTTTTTGTTTCCTCACTAGCTTTAAAACACCCAAAACCTCCTCCCCTTTCCCAGGTGCAGGAAGCTGCCAATCTCTCCAGTTCTTCGAAGCTGGAAGAGAGGGAAGTTTGTTTGTGCAGTGAGAGTACCTCAGCTTGTTCTCGAACTGGAAGTGGAACAGTCACAGTAACACAACACTCACCTGTGAATAACTGATTTTTTTATGCTTTCTGCCATATGGACCTGACCAAAGGCACCGAGACTTGTCATATCATCTTTCCCTAATGATACAGGTCACAACTGCCCCAGCACTGGTCTACATAAAAGCATAGAAAATTGTACTCAGAAGGGGTATTTGTTAGGCCACTTCCTCTGTATCCCTCATAGTGACACATCCACAATCCACCTAGGTAAATTGTTCTAGATCTGACTGATCTGTACCATCAGACTTTATCACAAGTAAGCAAAAAGGTCTTACCCTTCTCCAAACAGATTTTATCTTTTCACTAAAGTGACATAATGATTATACCTTGCTTGGTGAATCTGTCAGAACTTCATGAAGGGTTGAAATTTCAGGAGGGCTTCTAGGTAAACCATCATCTTCAGAAACGGCACCTGCATCTTCCAGTTTCTTTCCAGTTATAACAAGAGGAGGTGACCCAAGTCTGATGTTCTGCTGCAACTGAAGCTGTGGTTGAAAAGAAATTTAGAATATAGACTTTCAATGGCATTATTTATAGGGGACATTTGGGACACTTCTACCCCAGTTGCTCCCATTAGGCATGCAGAATCTCTTAGTTAAAAGAAATAATTGAAGAAACAGACCATTTACAGAAAATAGCCATTAATAAAATTTTAATTAGTTACATTCATCAAGGACCCATCATTAGAACTGGCTTTGGTACAAAATTAAAATCGAAATAAGGTATATTCAGTAAGTTACCAAAGACAGAAATTTCACCGTTCCAGAAAATTTACAGCAGTTTAACTCAGTTTAAATTTACAACTTCAAAAATTCTAGATTTAAGTAGTATTTAAATAATTACATGTATCTGGATATCCCCAATAGCCACACAAAGTATTGTCAGTCAGCAGTTCCCAACCCCAGGTTTATGTGGTCAGCTTTCCTTCACAAAGCCCTTCCAAATATTGAGAACCTGTCACCACTCTCTCCCACACAAGCAGCCAAGTCCCACTTTTTACATGAAGACAATTTAATTCCATTTCTGGTCCACCCCAATGAATTGCTTGTTAATTTTCTTCAGCATCACATCCTGGTCCTGTCTACAGCAAGAATGATAACAGCAGCCAGGAACAACTTTGTAAAGGAGTATGGGGATTCTTTTCCAAGATTACACAAAAGAATGCTCTGGCAGGCCCTGACCCTAGAAAAATAAAACAAAGTCTGCAACCTCACAAGCAGCCAGATGTTCCCTCAAACTAAAAAAGTTCAGATCTCAGGAAACACCATTACTAAAATTCTTGGCTTAAGTCTGTTGGCTATGTCAAAGCTGGAACAGAAACAAGGTCTGAACAGAAACTTTGTCCTTCAACTAAAAACGCCTCAACTGAATATTCCCAACATAAATATGCAGACCTGTTTTTTTTCTGTTCCTTTGCTTATTGAATCAGATTGGGAAATTCTAGGTCTAATTCTGTGTTCTTCTCCAAGCTATGCATTCATTTATATCTCTGTAAAATAGATCTAAATATAGAGCTGCCATTCTTATTCAACAAGATTTGTTTGCAATGTAATTTCTATGGATTTAACAGCCACACAGGGTAGCACAATGTCACCCTTTAACCCACCAGTCCCCCAGTTCAAACAGCTTTCTTGCCCTCTCACCCACAACAATGAAAGAAGTATCACCAATACAATCTGCAAAAGCAGGACTGATGACAAACTGCACAGACTGCCAATATATGGGCAAAACAAGACATACAACATACCTGTGCACTTCATGGGAAGGAAAATACAGAAAGTCAATTTTGCTTTTCCATCTTTTCACAACTTCCCATCTCTGATTTATTAAATTTATTACATGCAGACAGCAAAGTGTTGTGGGGGAAACACTGAATTTACAGTCTGTCTTCTACTGGTAGAAGTTAATTTAGATTGCTCAGAAAATAACAGCTTTTTTTAGTGCTTGGCTTTTATTCTGACAAGAATCAAGCTCACAGAAAAAGGTTGTCTTTTATGGCTATAAAAATAGTGCTGGCAGTATTACGTTACCATGCAGGATGGATGAAGAGAGGGTACAGTGGACTGGAGATAGCATGACAAGAGCTCCCCCCTCCCCCGCAAATTTCTGTCATATATAAACACGATTTCTCCTGCTACTCCTACTGTTATACAAAAAATACCCTGAATTGAAGCTTAGTCTCTTCTGCAGTCTTATGGAGGAAGAAGTCCCTCTGTGCATTTTTTATTACTTAACATGTGATGCAATTGTGTTTTGCAACATGAAGCTCACACTGAGCAAAGAAAGAATTTCAATGGCCTTTGGCTGCCTTATCAACAGTTTGTTTTCTGTGTCTGGAAAAACCTTAAACTTTTATCTCAGTACTCTGAGCTGGGCAGTTATTTAAATGCAATTAATATAACCAACAGTTGATAAGGGAGCTGTCAAGGAGGGTTCAGTATGTGCCTTGGAAGAAGGAAATGACCCAGCAGAATACAGTATCCTTTGCTGGCAGAGGTCAGAAGAATAATGATATAAATAAAGCTGTCACTAAGAGTGCCCTGACATATCCATCATCCCACACAGTTATGCAGCTGCTGGTGCTAGCACGTACAGTGAAAACATCATGGCCAGAACTGCCAAAAAAAATAACATAAGTAATATATAAAGAAAAACAATGTAAGGGACATGCTACAGTATAAATATATGGCCTTAACCCAAAAGCAGTAGCTATGAAGTAAAGAATGGAAATCCCATTGGAAGAGGACATGCTCATTAAGGAAAGTTTCCAAGAGTCCATGAACTGGATTCATGTCACTCACACACTATGAGACCTGGGCAAGGCTGAAAGCACCAGGACTGTTCAAAGAATGCAGCTTCCAAGAAGCAGAATAGATCCAAAAGTAGTAAATCTGGCTTTGGACACTTTAGTCAACAAAGTCTTAAGGCGCACAGCAGAGGAATTGAGCAACAGAGTTTCCTAGGAGACAGCTAATACAAAGCAGCATCATGAGTGAGGAGATGATGTTCTCACCTGCAAAGTTTTCACTCTTCCAGGTATGTTTTCCTGGGATGACATGTCACCTGCCACACTTCCTGGTGCAGACTCAAAAATGAAGACGCTGTCATGGGACAAGGCTTTGTTTCCCATGCTTCCTTTGGGCCTGGGAAGGAAGGAAAAATGGTCAGTGCACTGGGTACAGCCCTCCAATTCTTCCCTGCACTACTTCACCAGGGCAGAGGGATCATAAGGAGGCCAGAGTGGAATGCATCTCGCTAAACTTCAGTTTTCTGCATGTTAGCTGTCTGAGGTAGTCACTGCCAGCTTCTTTTATACTCAGAAGGGAGGAAGAAACACTTTTTAGGATGCTGATCAAATGCAAGTGTCTCTTTTCAGATGTACTCAGTATCTGTATTGAACACGCAGGCCAGTCTCTGTGGACTAGAGGGAGTCCAGGGTGATTAGGTCAGATGCTGAGATTTAATTGAATGTATGCCACCCTGAGAGATGTCTACAGCGCAGAGGAGGGTGACAGGAGTCCCCTGCCCTCCTTTGGTGGGAATGTGCCAAGCATGAGACACTCAGGATAAAACCTTTGCAGCCTGGTGTGTGTCATACCTGCCAAAGATTGTGGATTATTTTTCCCTTTCTTGCAAATGCAGGCAGAAAATTAATTCCACTACATTAACAAACTTGATTCAAATCCTCTCAGGTCCAGCAATAAAAACAGTTCTGTTCACCTGTATCATGAACATCACCAGATCCCAAGCATATTAAAAAACATAGGTGGGACAAGTGTCCATGGCCACAGTTACATACCTATCCACGGCCAAGTTAAAGTACCC